AGGGTCATGCATGGACGCAAAGGTATTAGCTTTGCGTGTTATTCTGACCCTAGGAGGCTAGATCTGGGTCTTGGATGCCTTGTGCTTGACTGAAATCGTCTGAATAGAGTTGGACATGAGAGGACTCGGCGAGTCACTTGTGGGACTCGGCGAGTCAGCCAGTTATTCCCCAAAACCCTCTGTTAAAGGGTATGAGTTGAATGGTTAGGGACTCAGCCAGTCTGAGTCCATAGTGGTCATGAAGTTCATCGTACTCGACGAGTTCAAGGAAGAACTCGGCGAGTCTAAGGCAATCTCCTTAGTTTATGAAGATGGACTCGACGAGTTGTTCATACAACTCGGCGAGTCACAGCCTAGACACATTCTTATGTGGATGATGAACTCGACGAGTTCAAGGTCGAACTCGGCGAGTCGGATGAATGGTCCCGATTGTATGGTTGAAGGAGAACCCGTCGAGTCCTTGCTAAACTCGACGAGTGGAGTCAGGGTTGTATGGGGTTGGAGGAGTATGGACTCGACGAGTTGGTAGACCAACTCGGCGAGTCAAGTCAACTGGAGATTGACTTTGACCAAGTTAACCTGGGTTGACTTTTGGGATTATTGTGGTCTAAATCTTATTTTGGGTATTGATAGTTCGAGAAGTCGAAGGGTCAGCGGTTCAGGAGTTGCCGGTTAGCAATCAGAAGTGTTCAGCGAGTTCCCGGCAGTGCGAGGTGAGTCTCATCACTGTTTGTATGGGTCTACGGCCACAATGCCGGCCCATTTAGTTTATGTATGGTAGGAAGACCCAGGGGTTAGCCCTAGGCAGTATGCATGATAGATCAGGAAGAGGCTCCTGGCACACAGTATGTTATTATGTATGGTAGGAAGACCCGGGGGTTAGCCCTAGGCATTATGCATGAAAGACCAGGAGGAGGCTCCTGGCACACAGTATGTTATTATGTATGGTAGGAAGACCCGGGGGTTAGACCTAGGCAACATGTATGAAAGACCAGGAGGTGGCTCCTGGCACACTGTATGCTTTTATGAATGAAAGACCAGGAGGTGGCTCCTGGCACACTGTATGTTGAGTAGCCTAGTAGAGTAGTATGTATAGTTGTCTTTGTGATGCTTGCATGGAAGACCAGGGGGTGGCCCTTGGCACTTGTCTGTAAGACCCAGGGAGTGGCCCCAGGCTTGACAAGAAAGACCACGTGCGGCCCGTGGCATAACAGCAAGACTATGTTTGGCACATAGCACCTTACTTGATTATGGATATGTTTGTTATGTATGGCTCATGGTTACGTATGGCATGTATGGATCGGTTGATATGTATGGTATGTGGTATCTGGGGAACTCACTAAGCTTCGTGCTTACGGTTTTCAGCTATTTGTTTCAGGTACTAATGTTTTTCCAAGGAAGGAGCTCGGGGCGATCGCAGCGCATCACACCATGTTTTCCGCAGTAGATGATCTTTGGGATTTAAAACTCTGATAATTGTTTATTAAGAATGTTGTTAAATGATTGAGCAAGATTTATTAAGCGGTTTTTAATTAATCAAAACGAAATTTTGGTCTTGAATTTTGGGATGTTATATATAGATATATATAATATAATATATTATATATCTATATATATATATGAACAAATTACTAAAATGGTCCTTGTGGTTTGAAAAAATATCATGTTTAGTCCCTATTTTTTCTTTTGCACTCAGATCATCCCTATAGTTTTCTTTTTGTTGTGATTTTCATCTCTGCTACATATGAAAAGACTTTATTACCCTTATTTAATTCTTTTTTCATTTATTTGTTATCTGTTTATTCCTAATATAACAAATTAAATAATTTAGAAAAAGATGTGGATCCCACGACCAAACACCCACCATTATCATCTCTTTCCTCTTACCCTCACTAACCTAGCACCCATCGCCGATCCTTCCTCTATTCCTTGCAACCGCCTGAAACTCCTAGCGCCACTGGATAGTTGGAATCCGCTACCATCATTGGACCGCCGAAATCTACTACCACCACTGCACTGTCGGAGACCTCTAACCTACTCTTGAACATCTTCTTCCTGGAAACACCAGAACAAAGAACTCTACGATATCCATCACCTCCTCACTCTGCCACCATTACCATATTTTTATAATAAGCCATAGACCCTAAATCAACCATCTCTTCCTACATGTTCACCCCTACATCATGTTTTTCTTTTCGATTTTCTGCAAATCTATATCGACACACAAAATTTGATTTTGGATTGTGATTTGAGGTTTTTTTTTAATTTCAGTGTAGGTTTTCTGGGATTATGGGTGTCGATTTATAGAGGATTGAGAGTTTTGTTGGATCAGGTATAATTGTCACTTGGGTTTCTAACCGATTTCACACAACCTGATCCATCACTTCTATGGTTGATTAACGGGTTTCCGATGGCAACCACGTCGGAGAAGGAAACATTTTCCAAAAGCAAATGTGGTTGTCCAATGAGAGAGATAGAGTAGAAAAAACGGATCTTGTAAGTCAAGGCTTGGGATTTGTTGAATGGATCTTACAGTGTATTTGGGTTTGTTAATCAGTCTTTCATATAGTGTATCCTATTTTGCATCTTGAATTGATCTTGTATTTGGGTTTAGTCAAGTATATGTTATGCATTTGAGTTTACGATTCTAGGTTATTTCTAGATTCAATTTTGAGTTAGATTAAGTGGAGTTATGAGTATCTTGTTCTATATGTATTTCTTAGTTTGTTCTGACAGTGGTTAATGGTGGTAGTTAATTGAGTGCAGGTCAAAGGCGGATGTGGTTGTCCGGTGAGAGAGACAGAGTAGAAAGAAGCGGAGCGAAGAGAGAGGCGGAGTAGATGACGGTCCATGGGTTTTCAATGGGTTTCGGCATGGTTCGACTCGTTCATGTCTCCGGTGGTTGCGGCTCCGACATGAGTCTGGTGATGGTGAGAAAGGAGAGGGTGAGATGGGTGGAGTAAGGGTTGGGAGTGGGACCCATGAATTGATTACTTATTTTTTTTTCTTATTTTTGTAATTAATTTAAATAATAGATGAAAACTGAAAAAGAAATACAAAGGGTAAAATAGTCTTTTTATCTCTATAAGGGACTAAAAACGTAACAAAATGATATGTTAGGCACCGTTCGTGTGCAAAAGATAAGTTAGGGATCGAACATGTAATTTTGATAAACCACAATGACCATTTTAGTAATTTTTTCAATATGTAATATATATATATATATATATATATATATATATATAATATATATATATATATATATATATATATATATAGAGAGAGAGAAAAGAGGTTCATTTGAGATTATGTTAATTTTGTGAGACATGAGACGCGATCATAGTCACTCATTTGATATTATTATTATTATTATTATTATTATTATTTTACCAAAGTGTTTCTATCCGAACGATATCCGGTGTTTCTCTTCCTCTTTGAGGTCGAGGGTTCAAGTCTCACTGTGAACATATGTGAAATAACTTATGAGTAGATTAATATATTGCCGTTTCAAAAAAGAAATTACCGTTTTTAAATATATGTGAAATGTTCTAATAGAATATTACAATGTAAATATTAAAATAGAATTCTTAGAATGTTAGAATATATTCTTGTAGTTTACTAGAATTGTTAGATATGTTAAAATATTATAATAATCTATTAGATTTGTTACAATTGTTAGAATTTTCTAATATTCTGTTTGAATTGTTTCAATATTTATAGTCTAATATTCTAGTCGAATATTTGAATAGTCTAACAATTTTGTTTTAATATTTATACCATAATATTCTATTAGAATATTTCACCTATATTTAAAAATAACGGTAATTTATTATTATTTTTTTTATAATCTAAATGACAAAAATAAAATTAAAAAAAAAATCAAAAGTTTTCATTTATTTTGTATTTTTAAAATGTTTTTTAATCTCCAAAATAAGTGGCTAAGATTTTCGTCCTTATGTCTCATCTTTTGTAGCCCAAACGTCAAAGTCCATACCAGTTCAACACATTTACAAGTTCAACATGGATTTTGGCAGTTCATTGTATCTGGATTTTAAGAAAACTTTTCGGTTCGATCTGGTCTATAAAATAAAGATAAAACCAGTGTTGTAAAAATTCCGACTAGGTTCCGATTAATCTCTGATTAGTCCCAAGGCGCTATCCCACCGACTAGAAGACGCCTAGCGATTAATCGTTGCCTACAAAATGAGCGAAGCAGTAGCAAACGATGAAATTTTAACACTTTGACGAAGTTCTATCTTAATAGAAATCATCTAAGGAATGATTAATGTTCTATTAATCATATACTAGGTGTGAGACTCATGTATTACATGAGTTTATTTAAAAGAAAAAATTAAATATGAAATTCTAAACATTTGAAAAGTTTAAATTTATAATTAAAGTGTTTTTTCTTTTTTAAATTAAACAAATAATTTAGATAAATAAAAAAAAGGAAACTAATCAATGAAACTTCAATTTAATAAGTTTGAAATTAGAAGAAAAATACATTAATGAATATAATATACATTTATTATTACATTTAAATACTATATAAAATTTAATAAAATGATAAAACAATAAAATGACATGTGGAAAGAAAATAAAATGAAAATAATAAGAAAAAGTCATGTGGTATAATGGATTAGAAGATGACAAGTGACAAAATCATTTTTATTTATTAAGGAGGAAAGATTAACCTATTTTTTTTAATGATATTAGTGGTATTTACAAACTTTCTTATGATATTAGTCGTATTTAGTTTCTTAAAATTCAACGAATTAGCAATTTATGGTCCCCGTTTAATTCTCTAATTAATCTTCACCTAGTCGATTAATCCTTCAACCCCACTCCACCGACTAGCTAATGTCGAGCGTTCTCCTTCATATCCCGGTTCAACTCCATTTTCAAAACATCGGTTAAAAATCAATTTACATGATTGAACTACTCCAAAAAACACTATTATATTGGGTCAACCCCTCTATTGTCGGTCACCATAAAAATAATTACAAAACCATATGCATTTCTTTGGGCACACATTCTTTTATATCTATATCTCTAATTGTGTACCGATATGATACTTTCGAGATTCGTTCATTCGCCTTTATTGCCTGCAATGACCATATTATAATGTCATAGTCGCCACATGACCATGAAAAGCATATAAACATACAAATTTTCAAGTCAAAAAACTGAACCTGTTTTTGCCAATCCGTGAGTCTAGTAACCAATAACAGACTCCCGGACTGTATTATAGATCCAATCACGATCCCAATCCAAAGTCCCTTTGCTTTCAAATGTAAAGGGAACCCAAGAACAGTGGCTGTTGGCATCCCAAACAAATAAAATGCCACCAGAGTCACATAAGCTCCTATATGTTGCCACCCACTTCCCCTAGCGATTCCTAAAACCATCAAGAACTATTAGTGATGATATTGTATAGACCAAAAATGTGAAAAAATCAATCACTCACCAGAAATCACTGCTTGTAGGCTATCTGTTATGATCGAGAGAGCTATGAAAGGACTCATTGATACAACGTAACTTACTACTTCCATTTTGTTACTAAAAGCATTTGCAAGATAATGGCGACAACTGAAAACCATGGTGCTTACTATTATGGCTTCAATAACAGCTAGAAACATCACTATACAAACAGCTAAACGGGCTGCTTGTGGGTTTCCAGCCCCTATCTCATTTGAAACCCGAGTGCTACATAATCAGATTGTAGAATGAGATTTTTTTTATGTAAAGATAGAAGGAATTTTAATGGTGAGAAATTAAAATACCTAGCGGCTGCTCCAAACCCATAGGGTATAGTGAAGTGTAGCGTGGAGATAGTTAAGCTGATGAAAACAAATGTTGAAAATATTTTGAAGTGATGAGAATACGAGATGATTATTGTTAGGTAAAGTTATTGAGGAAGAGTTGAAGTAATGAAAGATTACCATATGGAAAGAAGTGATGTTTCGAGTTGTGGATTTGGTAATAAGCCAGATATTAAGACAAGAAGTTCAAGTGACCACCATTTTAAGCTACAAAATATACGTATTAATTGTTGTCAAAATTTTGTTACAAATAAACTATATCCAAAGCTTTTAATTTTAAGATGAAATGATGAATGAGTTTACCAAACCATTACGGCCGATGGGATAGCAAACCAGAAGAATTCCTTCATACCTACAAGTGCGTCCATGGAGAAAGTCACACCAACATTCTTACACAACGATGAGAATTTGAAATAAAACACCATCAACATCAAATAGAACCAATTTGACAAACTAAACGCTGTAGCAGCACCAACGCTGCCCATCTTTAACTTGAAGATCAAACCCCAACAAAGAGGGGCATGGAAACATAAAACAAGTGTAGAGCTCACGAGCAATGGCATAGTCAGACTCTGTGATTGGAGCAATCTAACAAGAGGCTTCACAATTGCACCGGAAAACAAAGATGGAATAAGATATATGGAATATTTTCTTGCTTCATGTGAGATCAAAGGGTCGTGTCCGATTAAAATCAAGAACTTATCGATGAAAATCCAGGAGATGGAGATTGGGATGCAAACGAATAGCAATGAGATTATTGCACTGCATGTGTAGCCGCCGATTTTGTTATATTGTTTGGCTCCAAAAGCTTGCCCATAAAGGGTCTCGAGTCCTCCCACAAGACCTGACTATTTGCGAAACGATTTTTTTTAAAAGACATGAATTTATAGTTAATATTTAGTTAACTAATGGTAAATGAATCTTCTATTTCATTGTAAACATAACATAATCTTAAAGGAAATGCTTACAAGAAGACTAAAACCAGTGACATTAGTTAGGGAGGTGGCAATGGCGAGGCTAGATAGGGATAGTTCATCAACATGTCCCACCATTATCACCGCCACCATTTGCATTAGGTATGGCAACAAAGCCACCACCACCATCGGCAGTGCAATAACAGTCACCTTTTTTATCTCATGACCATAATCCGCCCATCTTTCACCCTGTTGCTTTCCATTAGGCAACTCCTCTAATGTTTCCATCTCTCTCTCGCACCTCCAACAAAACTACCATATATATGTACAAATATATACAAGAGACAAAATAAAGGTGTAGTGGAGTAACTTAAGATTCATTTTACTTGAAAACAGCGTGCAAAACCAACCAGAATATTCAAAATTGTTTTACATGTAAAATGAGGTTATAATAAATATCAAATTGCTTACGACTTGAGTGTATAGACAGGACCAAATACAAACCATAATTCTCAAATGCTAAGAAAGACACCAAAAGAAATTTTGTTTTTTTTTTCTTTTATAAATTTTTACGCTTATGGAAAAGATAGAGCTCTAAAATGATTAAATGGAAAGTTAAAAATTCATTAGGGACGCATATATTGAAAAAAAAAAAATGATATTTTCAAAGATTTTTTTTTTTTTTTAATTTCATGAGTGCTAAGGTAGAAAATATATGTGGATGAGCCATAACGGGAACCAAAATGTTTTTTCAAAAATCATACGTTTATCAAGGAAGCTGCGAAAACTTATAACAAGACATTAGAAGTTAGAGGAAAAACATCATTGTTGAAAAAGCAACAAGTTAATGAGCTAAAAAAGAAACAGTGTTGTGAAGCTATTGCATTCGATGAGGAGTCTATACTCGAGAGAGCCAATTGCATTTTTAAAATTCAGGAGTTGGAAGAAAGAAAAATCTTGGGCTTAACGCAAACAAGATTCTTCAATGGTTTTGTGAAAGGGAATTCAAAAATGCAGTGTTTTAAAAACCGGTTTGAACTGGGCGGTCGAACCGGTTGGACCGAATATCGAGGGAGGAAGTGGTTCAACTATCTTCGGTTTTACATTGATTTATGAAACGGATTGAACCGGCCGGTTTTTAGAAAAATCCGGTTTAATCGGTCAAAATAAAACAGTTGAATCGGTTAAACCGAATAAAAAACACATGAAAAAAAACCATTTATATAATAAACTTTTGTGATTTTTTTTTCAAATCTATTTAGTTTTATCTAAATAAAAACATATGATAAATGTTATAAAGTTTTTTGATTTGTTTGTATTCATCTAAAACTATATTTCGTTTCGGTATTATACTTTATTTTTATTTTTTTGACGTATATGGATTGATGTAAAACACTAAAACTTATGGTTATGTGTTATTTTAATATATTTGGATTCATTTACAACTTATTTTTATTTCTATTTTTAATTTTTGAACTTGTAAACATCAAATTCATAATTTAAAAATGTACGTATGTGTAGGAAAATAAAAAATAACATGAAAAATATGAAAATCGGTTAAACCGGTTGAACCAGGAACCGATCATCATACCGGTTCAACTAAAAACCGGTTTTTAAAACATTGCAAAAAAGCTTGCAGATACACGGGTTGAATGTAAAATAAAGAAATTTACAAGACAAAACTGCAAATTTAGTACTTATGGTTTACAAAAATATTTGGATAGGGTCCAAAAAGTTTTTAACTTGCATGGTAGATCCAAAATCAAGGTTTTTCTTGGTTTTTGGTCCCTGATACACTTGAAAAGCCGATTTTACTCTTTTCATTTCTTTTTTCTATTTTCTTTATTTAATTTGGTATTTGAATAGTTAAAAAAACTAAAATCTCTCTCATCTTCTCATTCGTCACTGTGATCATCCCCTCACCATCGATGGTGGCAATAAGGTTACATTCTATATTTTTCTATTCATTCCCCGGTCAAATCGGTAACAGATCAAATAGTCTTTGGTAATTCTAGCAATTTACAGCCATTTTAGTCAGGTTGTACTTCTTTGGGTACCCTTTCCACTAGTCGAAGAGGAACGAAGGATTCTTGTGACCCAAGAACACAACACACACATACACACATTGTCTTCTTGATAGAGCTTCAGTTCCAGAAATGACAGATCTGCAACATCAAATTCGAGAAGATGGAAGGATTAAGATCGATTAGAAAAAGAGGACCAAACCTGGTGTTATTCAGGAAATATAAAAATAGATGAGAGCTCGATCAATTTAGGAGAAAATAGAGTGAATGGAGCTACAATTTTTGCCGCCTGATTCAATTAAGAATAAGTCGTAGAAAAGGGCATCGATTTCTTCTTCTTGTCGGGACACACATGAGACGCACGCATCCAAGAGTCATAATTGATTGTGAGCACCTTTACAGACAGTCTTCTCCGGTGGCGGCAAATGGAAAATCTGAATCGAAACCCTAAATTTGAATCAAAACTGAAATCGTGTGTGTTTGTGTGAATGAAGAGAGGATGAAGGGAAATAAAGTTTGACTTAGGTACAGAGATGAAAAGGGATAGATCTTTCATGTTCTTTGTGGTTCTTGATTTCATGTTTGTGGTTGTTTAAGGTGTATGTTTTGTAAATTCTGAAATCGGGTGTGTTTCTGGTTCTTGGTTTCATGTTCTTTGCTCAAGAACATTTTTTTTTTTTTATAAATCTTTCAGATTCATGTTCTTTTGTGTATTCATCTATTTTCTTTTGTATAAATCTTTCAGATTCATGTTCTGCATTCATCCTTAGAAGGTCATAAACGAGAGAGAGAGAGATTTTTGAGAAGGTCGTTTTTTGGTGTAGAGAGAGACGGAGATGGTATTTTAATTTAGAGAAATTAAATATTCTCCTACTTTTCTTTCTACATATCCTTCTACAACAAGTGAATTTTCTTTAATTGTTGGAAATAAAAGAAAATGAAAAAAACAAAATTAAAAGGGCAAATCCGTCATTTGAAATATTTTCAACCAGTTTATTTTGGACTATTGGTGCAGTTCCAAAACTTTTTGGACAAAAGTCCAAATTTTTGACATATCACATTGACTAAATTTGCAGCTTTTCCAAAAATAACCATTGAAATCACTTTTTAAAAAATAGCCAAAAAATCGAGTTTTTCCAAAAATAACCATTGAAATCACATGTGGTTATGCTATATAAATTGTTTTTTTTTTGAAATTGCAGACGGCCTAAGGTCATCTGCAATTTCATCCGTACCTATGATTGTGATTTCCTTTGGTCGATTTTGTTTTGTTTTTTTTTTTTTTTTCATGTAACTGATTTCCGCCAATGTACTTATAAAGTTTTCGGATGAATGTTGGTTTTGAGCCATTGAAAGGGTTGAGAGAATTTCTTAAAGTTAAAAATATTAAAATAAAGGTCATTCCAAATTTTAAGGTTTATATACTTTCGGCCCATAGGTCAAAATGAGCCCAATTCATAGCCCAATATAGCAAGATAGCATCTGAGAAGGCTGAAATCGCAAATGAGCTCAATCACCTACGATTATGTTGGCTATTTTATAAAACATGCTAATTTTTTGCTATTAAGTGAAAAATCATGAATTTGACTAAATTTGCAAATTTCTCTATAAAATACTGGTGGTTGTCGGTCATTGCTTGTGCTAGTGGTGGGAGTAGATGTAGGAATGGGTCCCAAAGTGTTTATAAATCATTTAATTTATTTTCCGTGATTAATAAACAATAAACAAAGATTAAAAAAGAAAATATAAAGCACAATTTCATTAATTTGTTCGAACACTTTATGAATGATAGAGCAAGATGGGACAAAGGCCAACTCTCAATGTCTAGTCGCATGCAAATTACATAAAAACCTTTTATCATCTTCGTAATAGAAAAAATGGCTTACGGAATCATCCAATCCAAATAATATTCAGTCAAGTCCAGTCCTGTGTCCTGCCACAACCTAACTTTTAAATTTCCTACATTTGATCAACATGGAAAGATTCAAGTTTCACAAACACCTTTTTCATCTTAACCATAGTTTTACACTAAGCAACAAACCCTAACAACCAAAACACACTACCATTTCCATCTTAACAACCATCGAACAACTAGGGTGCCGACTTATCTTCGCCATCACCACCACCTTCACCGGGTGGTGGTTGTTGGCTACTTTCACCTCCCTCTGGCGGCTCCACTTGCTCACCGCTCTCAGTGTTTTCATTCTCAGGGTGAAAATTGATCGGAAACTTCGTAACCCTCGGCTTATCCGTCAATATATTTCTTTGAACCTTATCAATCATCACTTTTTGTGGAGGCTCCTCTCTTAGCTTTTCATCATCATAATCATTATTCACATAATAACCCACTCTCACAAATTCTTGCCCCACGTATGAACACATCAGCAAAAGCACAGTCACTCCGATTATATCTTCTTCACGGATCTTTGATGGGTCCGGTGGGTCCGCCTTAAAAATAATTCAAATTAGTTTTTATTTTTATTTTTTTGTTTTTCGGTTGGTTGAATTTGTATTTACCTGAAAAACAAAACGGTAATTTCCAATGTTGACGGGTCCCACGAGTACACTTTCTAAGAGCTGATCGTATGTTTCATCCTCAGCTGATCCAACATAGATCAGTTTCCATTCCAGATCTAAAAATTAAAAAAATGAAATAAATAAATAGATGAAGTAGTAATGATTGTAATTTGTAAGGAGTTAGAATTATAATGAAAATTGATGTCCAATTCTAAAGTGAGCATACTATGAAACTATGGAATTGTGTTCTCTATCATCTAAAGGGAATCTATCAATGATGTTTCTTGCTCAGAGTAAGTGTACAATGTCATTACCATAAAGAAGATTATCAGTTGCAAAGGAGTTGGTTTCTTTAGCGAATTCAAAGATAATCTTGCATATAAAACAAGCGGAATTCAATTGCATTTGTTTCCAGCAGTAATATACTAAAGATGCTCATCAACATAGTGTTCTTCCCTTTTGAATTGGTTAACCCAGGATTATTAGGGTATGTGTTCGTTCAATTCAATTATAGACACATACAGCCCTATTTTAACCTAATTTTGTCATGTAATTTGGTATAAGCTGAGAATCAAAGGAAAAATTCTACCAATGATCAGTAAAATAACATAATTGGGCAAATTATGTACTCCAATTGCGAATCAAGAAACCCTAACAATCAATAGGTATAACTTTGTAACGTCATTAACCCTAATTGAAAAATCAAAACACGAACCAGATTTAAGCTAATGAACATGAAGACAATTAAACATGAAGGAGTTGCCGAACATACCTTCTTTGAGAGGCGAAACACACTCGTACGAGATTTCAAACTGGAAAGGCGTGAGAAATGACGCCGGATTATCCAACACCGTCACGTTCGTAATGTTCACTGCGCTCATTGTGAAAACTTAAAGTGCGCGAATCAACGGAATATACAACCGGCTACAGTCAATCGGAAACCCTAGAACTCGAATCCTTCATCGGAGTTTTTAAAACCCTAAATTGTGAGGGAAATCGAAGACGGTGATGGACGAAAATTGGGAAGTAGAAAATGAAGGAGTTGAGAAATCTTGATGTCGGAGAAGAATGGCGTTTGCCTTTCGTGTTCTGCGATATATTTATATTGTTGACCGGCTACTGATATTGTTTACCGGGAAGAGCCGGTGGAGTAACGGCTTAGGGGGTCAACCCATTTGGTATTTTTGAGTCACTCGATGGCGGGAAGGAAAACACGTGACCGGCACGTGTTAAGAAAAGTATCAATGGAAAAACCTATGTTATAGTTTTCTAAGAAGTTAATTAAATGAAAACAAATAATATATAATTAATTTTTTTATGTTATTTATCTTTTAATTATATTTAATAGATTATTAAATTTATTATTTTGGTTTTTATTACATTACTGCAGTATATTTTAATTTGGTAAATTGATATTGAATCTACCGTGACTCGTTCATTCCGACATTTACTATGACCTAAATTTTTTAATTTGGGTTTTTCTACCGATGACGTTATGTCCATTGTGATTAAAGGTGTTCGTTTGGATAGATCGGTTCGATTCGATCCAATTAAGTAAATTCAAATTGGTTTTCAAAATATAGATTCGAATAGCCAAACTAAATTCAAATCCGATCTAATCCAGTTACAATTCATTTGGATCGTTTTTATAATTCGGTTTTCAAAAACCAAAACATTTTAAAACGACATATAATTATAATAATATCCAATTTTAACAGAAGAAGCAAAACCAAATTATTTAGTTGTGATTTAAAATTTATAAACAACTACAAACAATGTATATTATAGTTTAATATTTAATAGATAATTTTTTTTAGAGAAAATGCATATTAATATTATTTATTAGGAGAAACTTTTTGAACTTATTTGAAAAAATAAATTATAAGATTATTAAATAGTTGTAGATATATTAAAAATAATTAAAAATAAATAAATAATAAATTGTTATTCGGTTTTTTTGGACTATTTGATTCTTATTTTATAAACCAAAACCAATCTGAAATCCCAAATAATAATTCGGTTTTTTCGAAAACCAATCCAAAAATCCGAATAGCCGAACTAAACAGTCCAATCCACATCGTCTAATTAAACAATTCGGTTTTATCCAAATAATGAACAACCCTAATTGTAACATCTGATATGACATATTTACCTGATTTAAATGCAATGGTATAATATGAACCCAAAAAATGTTTAGTCACATATTGAATAAAATTAAAATAAATGACAAAAAAAAAAGAACAAATTGTATGTAATTCGTTACGATTTTCTTAATTTACAAACTACGATGGTTGTTTGAGATTTCATTTAAAAACAATTTATTAATTTCTTGCTATTGTAAATACAAAACAGGCTAAGTATAGGTCAAGGTATAATTTTTATAGAATGTAATATAAATTGTGAAATAACAATTATTTGAAAATAACAAATTTGTTTCTAGAAATAAAAATTCTCATATTTATAATTTCTATCCTACAAAAATTTTGATTAAATGGTTTTTATCCTTGATAAATTTAAAGTTAAATGATTGGTACTATTAAGTTACGATTTTGATCCTTTACTATATTTTAAGGTTACGGTTTTGGTCTCTTACATAATTGTTTTTATAGTTATCATTTTTATTAACATTACTTTTTTATTTAAATGTTATAAACTTTTATAGTATTTATTATGATATTAATTCATAAAATTAAATATGTTCAAGATACGTCTTCAAACTTTATTTTTGTCTACTTCCTCCATACATAATTGTTTGGTTCGAAATCTTATTTTATACTTTTACATTCCACTTTACGAAAAACTCTTTTGCAATGTGCACCGCAAAAGTATACAAATAAAGTTACGATCTAAACAAGTTTGAAGGTTTAAACTATGTTGAAAGTTATCTCAAGATTTTCTCTTACGAAACCTAATCCATGTCGCATTGTGCTTTTCAACATACAAGGTTTCCGCAGCATCATGCGGATGGTCTAAACCCTAGTTATATCTATTTGCTAAATGATTGAGTGAAGCACGCCAACCCAAATGCTAGCTTTTATCATACTAGTTTATACAAATTTGTAACTCTAGATAGGGGTGTGTAAAAACTAACTGGTCTAATTAAGAACCGACATATTTGATTGGATATCAAATTACAATTAGATTCGACCGGATGCGAAATTTCGAAATCCAGTTGAATTGGATCAGTTATTGGTTCATCATGAAAATCCAATGGATAACCGAAATGATCCAATCCAATTAGATATCTAATTTGATCCAATATATTATCCATTCCCTATTAATGTTATTAATTGTTCAGTAAAAGTAAGTTGAAGACTTGAAGATAATATTACTTTGTTAGTCTTATTTATCATATTTGTGTGCGGTTTTATTTTTAGAAAAATTACTTTCATTAGATGATATAACCTTAAAATCTTTTTTGTAAATCTATTGAAACTTAACTTAAGAAAAAGAAACAATTGAATATTGATGGAAATGACTTATATATTAATATTATGTTAAAATTACTTCTACATCTCTTGTCTAAAGAAAAAAATGAAAACAATTGATATTCTAAAGTTTTTAAAACGTGTTGATTGTTTTCCTATTACAACTATTGCATATTGAATTATGTTGACTATTTCTATTACTGTTGCATCTACAAAACAAAGTTTCTCCAAATTGAAAATTTTGAAATCCTACTTATGATCTACAATGACTCAAGAACGACTTATGACTTTGATTACGATTGAACACAACATTTTGGTTAAAGTTACCTATGAAGATGTTATTGAAAAAGTCATTTCAACGAATATTAGGAAAATGGTTTTTTTCAAATAGAAGCAATTTTCTTCTCGTTTTTTGTGTATTATTTTAATGAAATTTTAATTTTATGTATTTTGCAATAAGGAAAATTTATAATTTTTTTGGTTAAATTTTTAGATCTTTTAAGTTTTAAGGCATATATTTTTTATTAAATTGGATATGATCTCTAAAATCTTCCAGCTGGCTCTTTGCTCTGCTCTGCTATGACTTTGGACAGTTTTTTTTTTTTTTTTTTTTTTTTTTTTTTTTTTTTTTTTTTTTTTTTGATGATAGATCGATATTCGATATGCATTAATATGATATACACATTACAATGGTGCTTGATGGGCTAAAGAAATCCATAGACCCGAAAGTGGGCTTACACTAAACATGCATACAAATCTTTATACACATACATTGTAGATCCTCCTAATTACAGTACCATAGATTCCCGTTGTCATTACTTGATGACTTCTAGATTCCTTCAATAATATTTGATTAATTGTTTGCAATAAAAGTTAATCATTTGCATTAGCTTTTTGGCTAATCTATTATTTTACTACCATTTAAAAATTAATCGTGGTTTCCTTAGGATGTTACGTATCTAGAATCAGACCAAACTGCAACGATTTTATTTTTATTCGGTCGATCATTTCCATATGCATTGGTCTGGAATTTTAGGGCAGGCAAAAAACTTTACCTATAGCAAATGCCAACTAATTATTCACATTTTTT